AAATATTGTTCTGGAGTGTCTGTAATGGGTACCCTTGTTCTTGCAGTACTATTGCTTGTTCAATGGCCGTTCAGGCTTCTACACAGTCCCCTGTGGGGCTGCAAAGGAAGAGTTGATTCCCCGCGGAGGCAGCGAGCCCTTGGAGGGTGTGTGTGTCCAAATCCAGCCCCCCCCCCCAACTGAGTTTGACGGCCCTTATAGAAGAAGAAGAGAAGCTTACAAACTCCTTTCCCTTCCCCTCCCCACAGCAGACACCCTGTGAGCAGTGTTCCCTCTAAGCTGAGTTAGTGTGAGCTAGCTCACAGTTTTTTAACCTCCAGGCTCCAGCTCACACCTTTTTGTTTTAGCTCAGGAAGGGAGGGCTCCAGAGCAAACTAATTCATACAGTAGCCAAATCACTTGCTCACAACTTTAATGCCAGTGGTTCACAAAGTAGAATTCACAGCTTAGAGGGAACATTGCCTGTGAGGTGGGTGGGGCTGAGAGAACTCCGTCAGAAACTGCTCTTTCGGGATCAGCTGTGCCAGAGCTTGTGACTGACCCAAGGTCACACCAGCAGCTGCAAGTGGAGGAGTGGGGAAATCAAACCCGGTTCTCCATTACACCAACTTGGCTCTGTCTCCTGCAAACAGGCTCTCCTATGGAAGGCGGGTGGGGGACAACCAGCTTTATTTATTTATTATATTTATACCCCGCCCATCCCGCAAGCAGGCTCAGGGCGGCTAACAAAAACGGTACAATGTACCTGATTGACATACATAAAACTTAAAAACTCTATAAAATCTCATAAGCAATTACTTTAAAACATAAGTTACAGTTAACAATAAAGCTTCCGCCTCCTTTTACAGCCTGGGAGGGCATCCGGGTGCAGAGCGACTCCCACTGAGCAGCCCCACGGAGGTGTACGAGGCGCGGCGGCCGGGCTGCAGCGCCTCCTGGGGAGGACGGCTTTTGCCTTTGTCTGCAGCACGGCAAGGGTTAAGCCCACAGCGCTGCGTGCCAGGAGGGGGGGGGTCCGGAAGAGTGCCTCGTGTGCGCACGCGCGCATGCGTGTCCGGGGAGGGGATTGCTTCTGGACCGGGAGGCGGAACGGGCAGGGCTTCGGAGCAGCAGCCGCAGCATCCTC